TTCTATCTTTCTGCGATATTTCTATTTTAGGATTTCTTCCTTTGTTTCAAACTTTCCTATCTATTCGAGTATATTGAATTAATATGCTCTCTCCATAATAAAACACCAATCATAGTTAGAATCATTAAACCCAGCTTGGATATCAGGTGCAAATGCTTGCCAGCAGAGGGCAAATGCTTTTAGCAAATTTTCTTGGTTTTCACAAATAATTGTAGTCCAGCATGGATCTGGTTCTGTCTCAACATCAACAAGACATATTTGTTTTAGTGGTTTTGGATCATCTTTCCAATGCAATGTCATACAAATCATAAAAACATTATGATTCAGATCAAGGACTTCAGGAAATTCACCCAACTCTTGTGATTGCGTCTCTATATCCCACATGAGGACAAGAGTATGATCCCGTAAGAGAGCTGTAATAGGAAATCAATCACTTATTGTTGTAAAATCCTCTAGCAGACAGAAATCTTTTATAGACACATAGAATTCATGCAGACAGAGCAGGCTGGTCCATTTGCCTTTTTTGCATATATATTTGTTTATTGTAGACCACCCAGAGAGTTGGATTCCATTTTCTCAAGCCACCTTTTGGTGGAATGAATATAAATTATCTGAAGCAGTTTCAAAATTATTATCTTGAACAGCTTTGATGGCTCTCTTTCTCTCTCCAGTACTATTTGTATAAATTCATAAATATGGTTTTTTTTCAGTATAGTATTTGCAGAAAGGAAATGCTTTAATATGCTCCATTTTAAATGATTTCACGATGCCAGAGAGAATTTCACTCACCTTTCTTTGCATTCATCTGGAGTTTCTCTGTCTGGTACGCAAATGTCAAAGAAAACCTGAATGCCTATAAGAGTTACCAGTGCCTTTTGGCTATTAATAAGGTGACCATAAAAATACAATACATAGCGATAAGTTCCATTTATCTTTTCTGTTGACCCTTCATTCTTAATAGCCATAAATGGAATATCATGATGATTTGCTATTTCATTTTCAAGAATTGCGGACAATCTCTCATTACCATTTTCTTTAACTATTTCATCTAGAGTTGGAAAACTCATCAAGTACTTTTTGCCAGAATAGCGAATCAGTTGGGCTTCTATTTTATATTTTCCAGCCTCTGGCTAGAAAAGAACAGGGCTATCCAAATTCTCTGAAAGCTCGGATTGGGTCATTTTTCAGATATGATAACTATATATATACTGAAACAGTATATATACCCTAACAAAAAAGTTTAAAATAAAAAATAATTATTATAGATACCAAAAATTAATTAGAGATAATATTCAATGGTTAGTAAATACATTTGCCAGTATCGTTCTAATGAAGGAAAGGTTTGTGGGCAGGTGTGTAAACGACAAGAGGGTACAAAATTCACTGGAAAAAGCATTAGCGAATTCCTTGCAAACAATGTGAAAAGCCAATAGATTATGTAATATGCACGTAAATAAGTACTATTCAAATACATATTATCACCAGAAGAAATTAGATAAGATGTTTCAGAGCTGGCAGACTCCAGAGGCAATGGAGCAAGCTCTTGATAAAATAAAAATACCTGATGCAGGAAATTGGCTCTAGAAACTGAAGAGTTTATGCTTTAGCTAAAGTGAGCGCACCAACTCATTAAAAAAATTTGTTTCTATAAAAACTATCCTTCGTACCCTATGAAAAATTTATAGGGATAGCAAAAAAACTTAACAAGGATGCCTCAAGATAGCAAACTGGTATTTTTAAAACTCTGGAAAGCCATCTTTATTACTGTCCCTATGACCCTATGAGTCCCTGTGAAAATTCGAACTTCTTTACTTTTTTTTTATTTTTTTTTATAGTATACATCAACTATATATCAAACATATTTATAAGCATATATAGTTATCAAAGGTAATATACCATAAAAATCAAATTTTTTTTCTAGAACTTTTACATTTCATAGGGACTCATAAGGACATAGAGACAAGTAATAAAGAATAGATTAAATCAAACTAGGAATCTCAAAATCGATATCGAGGTTGTCTCTAAGGACGTTCTTATGAATTTTTTCTTATAGAAACACATAGGGACAGCTAGTATTGTTGCATTATACCTCTAATTGATTAATTAAAAAAAAGTGCCAGGAACTGAAGGCGCAGTAAATTAACAATAATATCGGCCTATAATTTTAGCCTGATCTTTAGGCACAATAACTTGGCAACCAAGAAGTGATCTAAAACTGGCGAACTAATAGAGCCTTTCTGGTTCTCTACTAGTCTGCTACCAGTATCACGATAGTTCTAGACACTATCGGGTCACTACTATGGTATCGAGTTGGATTCTCAAAATACGAGTTCTAAAGATCAGCCAGAATTATGCTATAGTGCCGAGCAAATTTAAACACAGATTTACTGCGCTACCCGACATAATATTTTTTTTACCACATTTTGATATTTTGACAGGCAATCGAATAGGTGCAAAAAGGTAAGCACCTCAATATAGAATCTGGCCAAGACGGTATCTAAAATGGTCTCCAAACAGGCCAAAAAAGGTAGAATCGCGTATCTTCTCTCCTAATTAATCAGGCAACCTGGAAAAGAGAAACTATGTAACCGGTCACATACCTGAGGACGGTATCACAAATTATAATCTACTTGGGGCAGATATAATCTATTATAAAATTTTAGACTATATTGTTCTAACTAGATAACATTATAAAATTCTAGACTATATCGTCCTAATTAGATAACATTATAATGTAACTGGATAATAGTCTTATAAAACTGTTATCCAGTTAATTCTAATATGGTTAGCTAAGCTCTTGTTAAATCTTGTACTAAATATAATCTTGATGTTTTATAATATTTTTTTTTTTTTTGGATAATACAAATTATATAAGCAGTTATATTGGAAGTGATATGGCAAATTTAATTAGTTAATTGAAAGCAATTATATTTGAATTCTTTATAGATTATATGTATAATATTTTATTCCAAATAATTTTAAAGAAGTGATTTTCAAT